CTTTTTTTTTTATATTGCCCTTCTGTGATATTTTTATAATTTCAAATAATTATAAATTATTATTTATAATAATAAATAATTATTTATTTTTAATTAATAAATTATTTATAATAATACTTGATATTATTGATATTGATCAATATCATCAAAATCATTATTTTGTAGTTTGTATTGCCTAAGACAATTCTAACTCATTAAAAATGAGTGGATTATATAAAAGTGCAGATAATGGTATGCAAGCATTATCGTTAGTATATGAATAATTTCATTTTGGGAAATATTGGTCTAGTTCAATACTTGAATTTTATTCAGAAGAGGAAACTGAGGTCCAAAAAGGGAAAATACTTGGCTAGGATCTCATAGTGAGTAACTGGTAGAGTTTGGACTAGTTCCTAGGTCTCCTGGGTCCCACGCAGTCCAATATTATTTCACTATACCTGATGCTTCTCAGTAATAGTAATGAAAGTGGAGTGAACAACAGGTAAAGAAGGGAAGAATTATTAAGAACACACAAAGCAATAGATGGAGAAACTTTTGTGCCTACTGTAGATTTGGTGGGCTCATGGAAGGGCAGAACAGACAAAGTCGCTGGGAGGATGAATTAGAAGTATATATGCAAGATGCAAATACATTTTATTTTTTATGTCTACCGTCAGTTCCGTTCCTTTTTGAAAATAGATTGCCAGAAGGGCAAAGACAAAAATTGAGTTAGAAATAATAAGCTAATCTGGATTGACATCATCTTTCTGCACGTCTCTACACTTTAGAGCTGGAGTTGAAGGAGTACTGGGGAAGTCATTAACATAGCATTTTCTTTATGTGTAATAATACATTCTTACAGACTGTTTCTGAATTAACACATTTTTCTTTTTCAGAGTCCTTATAGGACAGTTCTTCGAGATAATGCAATACCAACAATATTTGATCTTACCAGTCATTTGAACAATCCACATAGTAGACACAGAAAACGAATAAAAGAATTGGTATGTCAGTGTGCTTTTGGCTTTCCCACCCCCCCGTAATACTGTGACATCAAATATAGATGCATTCATGTTAAAATTGAACCCAAGTTACTCTCTATTTCAAAGGTAGCATGGGAAGTGAATGCTGTGGTTATTGAAGTAGCATGGATGTGAGATGATCAGTTCTTAAATTGGAAAGTCTTTCTCAAATTTAGCCCGTTGATACTCATTGACTTGGGGCAAAATATGCTTTCAGTTATAGACCACAGCACATTCCCTTCCTGGGAAGAAAAAAAAACAAAAAACACTACCTTTTCTTTTATAGTAAGGAAAGTGGAGCTGAGGGATATTTCCAGAATTCAGCACAAAGGGATAAAGAAAGGGAAAGTATAAAAGTTAAGACATGGATACTTTTACCTAGAAGTAATGGTTCTAGCACTATTAAGTACTGACAGGGTTAGAAAAAACTTTTAAATCTCTGTATATGGCATCATTTATACATGTTTTTATATTCCTTTGATACCCTTTAGTTCTAATGATTGAAACCTACCTGTTTTTTTGTTGACATTAGGTGAACAGCATTAAATTGCTGAGACTCCTCAGTCCATGACTTTCTGTCATTGTTGCCACCAGCAAGACCTTTATTTTTTTTTTCTTCCTCCTTCCACTATTACCATTCCCATTTCCTCTCCTCCTTTTGGTATCCATGCTAGTGTATTTAATATTTTTCATTTCATTCTGCCTACTGTGTGCTTTTTAAAGCAACATTTATCTAATTTTCTTCATTTTTCTGTTTCTGTGTTTACCTTTCATATTTACATCTTTGATCCGTTTGGAGTTTGTATGTCTTTATCACCATAGCTTTATAATATATCTTACTTTCAAATACAGGGATTTCTTAACTCTTCTTTTTCAAAATTGTCTTAGCTATTTGTGGACCTTTATCCCACCAGATGAATTTGAGAATTCTTTTGTCTTATATAAATTGTATGGGGATTTTCATCATGAATGTTTTGAATTACTATCTTTGCAATATTAATTAGACCTATCCATAAACAGAAAAAAACGGCTATCAAGTAATAGCAATCATTGACAAAACTAAATACTAGTTCTTTGAAAACACTATTAAAATACTTTTAGGGGCACCTGTGTGGTTCAGTTGGTTAAGCGTCTGCCTTTGGCTCAGGTCATGATCTCAGGGTCCTGGGATCAAGCCCCTAGTCAGGCTCCCTGCTCAGTGGGGAGTCTGCTTCTCCCTCTGCCCCCGCCCTGGCTCGTGCTCTCTCAGATAAATAAATAGAATCTTTAAAATAAATTAAAAATTAAAAAACTTTTAAGAATGCATAAAGTAAAAAATTTGAAATAACTTCAGGGTTTTTGCTGCAGTTCTTTAAAAGAGAACAATATGTATATTCTTCCTTAAATAACTTCCTAAATACACTGTGGTTATTGTTGGTATAGATTATGTATTCTGGTTGGGATTGTTTCTAGCAGTTTTGGAGACCCCTTTTTATTAATCCTAATAGTCCACCAAGTTTTCTATGTAGTTGATTGTATCATCCTCTAAATTTGCCTCTTCTTCCAATCCTTATAATTTAAAATTTTTCTGTTGCCTGTGTTACTGTTTAGTAACTACAGTTACTACACCCCTAAGAGTGCTGTGTTGAACAGTCTCAGGAATGTCACAGCTGGTACATTTGTCTTGTTGCATTAAGTGTGACATTTGTTGTTGATATTGTTAGATAATTTTTATCAAGTTAAGGAAATTCCTTTTATTCTCTTTTAGTCCTCATATTCAAAATTTTTATCATAACTTGTTGAACTTATCAGAAGATTTCACTGCATCTGTTGAGTAGAAAAGTTCACGATTTTTTTTAAGGCAGTCAATGACATTGATGGGTTTTCTGATGTTGAACCGTCTTTGCATTCCTGTGATGAACCCTAATTGATTGCAGTATATCTTCATTTGTTTGATTTAGTTGGTTAATATTTTATTTAGGATTTTGCATTTATCATTTTAAGTGTTGTCCTGTAATTTTCTTTTTTCGTGTACTCCTATTATCCAGTTATGGTATCAAGGTTCTATTAGCCTTATAAAATTAGTTGGATAGCTTTCCTTTTTTTCTCCCTTAATTTTTCTAGAGAAACTTGTATAAGGTGTATACTATCTGCCCTTGAAAGTTAAACCATAAAACCATCAGAGGGCTTGGGGTGGGTGAGGGAATATTTTAATTGCCATTTTGATTTATTTATTGGTTTTCTCTTCTTGTGTTTCATTTGTTTTCAAGAGTTCATGAACTGCATCTAGGATTTTGGAATGCTTGTTTTTTTCTGAACCTAAGATTATTTTAATAGTCTTTGCAAAGAAATAGTAGTTACTTTTATTAATGATTGCTGTACGTGTGAGCTATTTTATCGGTTTCTTCTTGATTTGAGGGATTTATTTTTTAGCTCTTTTTCTGGCTTCTTGAATGTTTAGCTCATATTTATGTATATTCAAAGCTGTAAATGTCTTAAGTGTGTTTTAGCTGTATCCCACAATTTTAGACATGTAATGCTTTCATTGATTAGAAGTGTTTTGTAATCCCCTATTTCTTTAACATAGGATTATTTTTGTTTTTAGTTTCCAGGCATGGGTTTATTTTTTAAAATCATATTGTAGTTTTTATTTGGAGTGTTATTATTAAGTGATACATAGAGGATATATACAGTCTGTGTGATACTGATTCTTTCTAGTTTTTGCATCTGTTATTGCTGTTGAAGTATGATGCTAGCCTGATTCTTGCTTCTTTTTAGATGATCTGCTTTTCTCACTCAAAGTCTTTAGTTTTTTTCCTTTATATTTGACATTTTAAATTTTGCTAAACTGGGTCTAGATGGTTTTTTTAATTATCTGGATTTACATCTTTAAGTTCTGCGAAATCCTCAGTTTTTATTTCTTCATGCATTTCTTTCCCTCTATTTATTTATTTGTTTTTCTGGGACTTCTCATAGATGAATGCTGACACTCCACAACAGTCCTCCACATCAGCGTTCTTCTTAGTAATATGTACCAGGGCTGAGGCACTTGGCCACTTCCCACCCTGTAGCTTATCATTTCCCTGTATTCCGCCCCTTGGGAACCTCAGATACCTTACTGCAGACATACTCTTCCAGATCTGCCATCCTTGCAACTGCAGCTCACAGGATAAGGAGGGAATGTTCCAGATTGGCTAGCCTGTTGACATTTCTTGTTAGCAGTAGCGTGTTCCCATGCTGCCTAGCAGGTACCCTGCTAACTCCATATGTCACTGGTACTGCCGCTTGCCTGCCCCAGAATAGTGATGGGGTGGCTTGTGATTTAAGCATTGTGGGGGGTTAGAGGGAGAGAAAAAGATACAACTGGGAAGTCCTTCCTCTGTCTAACCCTGTATGTGTGTGCCACTTGGCCCTCTATGCTGTGTGCATCCATTTCTCTCTTTTCCATACTGGTACTGCGTTACTCTCTGCTTCCCAGGGATTTTTTCATAGCTTTTATGTTAGGTTCTGGGATCCAACAACTCTCTCTTACATGGCATCCCCCAGGATTGGATTGAGGGGGACATGATTTGTGACCCCTTGGAATGCCCATCCTATACTTTCATGCCTTTTATTAGCCAGCAAACACTTGTAACCCGAAGTTATGATGATTTAAGTATAAAGTAAGTTAAACAATGTATTCTTTCCTCTCCAGTATTTTATTATGAGCTTGGAGTCATTAGTAAATTATACTTCTGGTTTTTCTGGTCATCTCTATGTTTGAAGAATGTTTTCCTTATAAGGAATTTATGCTCTTGAAGGAATTAAATTTGAGTCAAGATATGCTTTTTACTTATGAGTCTACAGTGATGTGCTAGAGTTCAGTTTTCTTAAAGATGTTTTTTTCTTTTTTCTTGTCATTTAGAGTGAAGATGAAATCAGGACACTGAAACAGAAAAAAAGTAAGTGATAGTATTAATGACTCAACTTCTGAATGCCTTTTAAAAAGGCCTTGACCTGGTAAGGACAAATAATTATGTTTTATGTCTAAAACCTGCCGTGAGAATGATGTAAGCATGTGGTAGGCATTGTCCCGTGGTCTGGAATTGTCTGTGAGACTAAAGTGTTAGTTTAGTTTTTTGATTGAGTGCTACTGTGTCATACATTTTGCCTTCTCCCCACTAGGGCTGTGCTCTTGGTGTGGTAGGAGTGGCAGGCACACAGAGTGTCCCAAGGTAGGGAAGGAGAGGCAGCGGGAAGGACAAGAGCAGAATCTTCGTCCACCCAGTGTGTGGTGCATAATAAATTCTTGATACATTTTTAAGGAATAAATGCTGTGGGAACCTTAGCCTAATAGAGAGTAGGAGTCAGAAGCCTTTCTGCAGGTACTGATAGCTGACCTCTGTCACCAAAGAATGAGGACGAGAAGTTGTTTTTGTTTTGTTTTGTTTTGTTTTTGGCAAAACATTCATTTAATCCTGAAATGTAGACAATCAGAAATAGGTGGATGTAATGGTATGAAGGAAAAGAGCATATCAAGACTCTTCCACTTTTATTAAAGGTTTTGGCGATGAGAACTTCATAAAATCTCATGAAATTCTATTTGCTATATAATAAACATCTACTTCTGAGTAGGAGACATATGCCATATTATAGCAACCATTTTAATGTGTAAAATAATTCTGAATTCTTACTATAAAAATATTTGGCTAAAATATGAAACATCTTTGCAGTAAAACTGACAATGCAACCTAAGTTAAGGTTTCAGAAATGTCTCCTGGAAAAAATGGGCATGTTTTCTTTTGCCAGATAAACTCTCAACAGTGAAAGTTAAGGTGCCATAAATTAGACAGAGCTGGAAAGCAACATCATCTTCTTAGAACAGTATGCAACATGGACTTCCCTCCTTGTCAAACAGACAACCACTTAACGACAATGACTTATTAAGTTGTTTTTGTTCTTGACAGTGACTGCTATTATTCCTCCTTTCTCTGTCCCTTCCTACTACTGTGTTGCTATTATTATTAATATAAGTCTTTATGTCTGCTCTCTGCCAAGTCTTTATTCTAAGTGCTTTTCTTAATTGATTTAATTCTCACAGTAGTCCTGAGGTAAGTACTATTATTTTCCATCTCTGTAGATGAGGAGACCTGGAGTCAGGCAAAGGAGGAAAGAGTATTCTGTACAGAAGTAGAGTGGCTTGAAGCAGGGTGCTGGATTTGGGAAATTATACTCATTTTGTTGTTGGAGCTTCTACTGTTCCATGATGGTTAGAAAATGAGCCTAGAGGGAACCACAGGGTCCAGGAGTTGCAACATTGTGTGTATGACAGCGGGCAGGGCACCAACCTCAGAGCCTCGGTTTTCCTATCCAAATACAAAGAGATCAGGCTGATATTCTAGTAGTCTAATTAGCCTTAAAAATTGCCTGAATATACTCTACATTTTATTGGCTTGTAGAACTCTCCTCTTCCATATAAAAGTGTAGCTTAATTTCACAGAAACTGCATCAGCATGGACCTTGGAGCCAGCCAGGCTTGGATTTGAATTTTATCTCCATCCTTCTAACCACATCTATAACCCTGGGCAATTATTTACTTTCCTCAATTTGTCAAATGGGGTTGATAGCACCTGCCTGTAGAGGGAGTAATGTGATAAATATAAAATGCCAACACAGTGCCTCAATAAATATTAGTTCTCTTCCTTTTCTTTTTTCTGAGGGCACAGACTGTTACTGCTCTGTGTATGTTTTATGTGACGTGCCTTGTTAAGTTTGTAAGAAATCATTTCTCTCTTACAACATTTACGTGTAGGATTAAAATATATCTGTATATGGTTTTTTGTCTCCTCTAGAGTGTGTCTCATTGTAACCTCTGTATCCTAGTCTGTGGTCCAGTAGGTGCCTGAATGTTGAATGGATGAGTTTGTGAATTTTAAATATTTAACCAGTCAAAAATATAAATTTTTGTTGTTTGTAAGGTTCCTCATGAGCCTGTTTATAAAATTAATTCTTTGTTTTCCAGTTGATGAAACTTCTGAACAGGAACCAAAACATAAAGAAATAAATAACAGCAATGCTCAGAATCCCAGTGCAGAAGAAGGGGGTGAAGAACAGGATGAAGACATTTTACCTTTAACCCTTGAAGAGAAAGAAAACAAAGAATACTTAAAATCTTTATTTGAAATTTTGATTCTTATGGGAAAACAAAACATCCCTCTGGATGGGCATG